CTCAATGATGTACAAGATAAAAAATGGGCCCCAGCATTAAACAGAAACCTGTCGCCCCCCCCCCCCAAGACAGCTAATAAAAACAAGAACTCAGTACAGGAACTCCTCATTCCTGCCAAGGACAATAAAGGACTGGAACAAGCAACCAAATGTTCCAGTTGAGGTGACTACACTCACACATTTGCGTCTACTACCTCCTGTCTTCCAACCCCCAGTTCATAATACCATTGCTGAGTAGCCCTTGCAACCAGTGAAGTATCCCCTTCAAAACCATGCACAGTAACATCGCGAACCCTCTGAAACATAGGAGCCAGAATGAGCAATACATTGATCGTCGCCCCTCAAAATTTAGAAGAAGAAGAAGTAGGATGAGTTTCAGTTCAATTTGAATACCATCCATCATAAGACAATAAAAAAAAAAACTACGGGACAAAGTCTTATTATTGGTTAGGGCTACCCATGCTTATCCCGGGAGCTTAAATTTATATCTCATCAGGGTGTCCCTTGAAATCCCGGGATAAAATAATTCGATTAAAAAATGTTATAAATAAATTAAACTATATACAAGCAATTTTTTTTTTCTATAATAAAGATTGCTGTTATTGGTTATTAATGAAATAAAGGCGATTTTATGTTAAACTGACAGCATTTTGGCACTAGTTTCATTTATTTTCCTTCGATAACGCCAAGCAATACATGACAATACATGACTAGCTAATGATTACCTGGTTGAGAAGAGGTCGGATATGATCATCTGTAGAAATAATCTTGACACTTTAAATGAGTTTTGCTTTCAACACAGATCACGAAATTCTAGTTTCAAATCTGTCACAAAATAAAAATTGCAAAACCAATAGCTCCAACAGCTTGTGTTTTGGCGAACGTTTCGAATAAAAAAAATAGAAAAACAATTAAAAATATCAATGAAGATATCCATAATGTATCCATAACGTATCCCTACTGTGTATGTTTTACTAAGTTGATTTTGGAAGATAAATAATACACTACATAATATAAAAATAATTGACTCAGACACAGCATGGTGTAATAAGTTGCTACAGCACAGGTCCCCTGCACGAGGGAAATCACCTCAAATGGGGTTCTCAAAGGATTTATGTGATGTCACCGACTGAAACAACAGACTCAGAAATATGGTGATTGTTAAATAGTTTTCTTTTGTAATTGGTTTCTAACAGTTTGTGTTACAAGTTTTCAAACATGGCAAAAAATATATTGTTTATGAAAATACTGTAAAATTCCATTTTAATATGTTTTCATTAACCTTGTCTTCATTTTTGATTGTAGCGCGGTAAGGGTCCACTTTGTTTCTATATAATTGTGGTCTTTGAGGGACCACTTTGCTTCTGTATCAATGTGGTCCTTAATGGTCCACTTTGCGACATAAAACAGTTGAGTAGATTTTACAGGTCCTGAGTTAGAGACACTTTATGACAATCTTGCTGGGGAAAAAAAAAAAATAAACAGTTGAATTCTAAAAATTTATACTATGGATTTCCCAGGATATACCAGAGTAGGAGAATTTCACAGAAAATCGTGAAGCATCCTGGGATCAAGCTAGAGAAACCCTTGGAGCATTGCGAAGAATGTCTTACTTGGAAATACTCATAGGCCTACTATAACTTAATTCAACTTTCTCACCATGAGCATCTAATATTCGCTTTGTTTCGTACATTTTTTATTCTACAAAATTCGGTTTCGTGTGTCCGTATACAATTATGGTGAAATACTGATCCAAACACCTGCCCCCCCAAATGCCACCCCCCCCCCCCAGCAAGGCTACCACTCCTTCGCTACCCTGAGAATCGACACAACAAAACGAAATCTCGTTGTCGAAACTCGACTTGTCTCCATTAGCAATGTCTCTCAACATGCGCAAGATGTTGAAGGGAAGTCACCGAAGAAATTGTTCATTATCTTAAATTATCCTCCCAACCTTACAGTTTTCTCCCTTTTATTCTAAAGCGAACACATTTGAAAACGCAAAATATCTGAAGGTAAATTAATTTGTTTCATTTGCTTTCAGTTGTTGGAATATGACTTCAAACGCTGGTTACATATGGATCATAAATGGACCTATGCTTGCTACAGTTTTGGTACATTCCAGTTTCTTACCATCCTTGTCTGCATTTAGTCATTAATTAACTATGAAATGTTTAGTGCATTTTATTATTATAATTTTTTTTTTTTAAATGAGAAATGTAGTTTTGATACGCTGAATAAATAAAACACTTATGCAGTTTAGAATATCTAAGATATTTTTCATAGTTTTCAACAGCTAAAGAAATAAAGCAACACAACATATTTACTTTCATCTAACGAAAGCTTTTGAGTGACAACCGTCAATGATTATTCCCCTGTATAACGATGAATACTCTAATTGTGGTGTCGTTGCAGCTCAATTTCTTTTTCTTCCTGAATATTTCCCGAGTGCTGTGCTCCAGACTTCGGTCTAGTCAACGTCATATGGGAAGAGCTAAGTATAGGTCTGTGTTTAAATGTTTTTATGTGTGTCAGAATGGTGGAGATAGCCACTAAATGTGACATACTGATAGATTGATTTATTTTTATTTAGACTGGTCTAGTTAATTATTTGGAGTATACATAAAGTTAAGCTGCTCTTCAGCCACTGTTTGGAAGCACAATATATTACTTAGTTTATGATTATAACATTAAATGTCACCACTGTTTGCATTAGGGTGGGCATTGGGAAACAACTGATTTCCACTTATGAGTCTATCGGTCTCTGTTTACCGATGTTAGATTTTAAATGATTAATTGGGCGGATTTAAAATTGTAAATAGTTATCTGACACAGCATACTTAAAACATTGAAATACTCGATTGATTTCATTGCTTCTCGTAGTTACGTTTCACATGTTGCATTTCCCCCAGTACATAGGCCTATATAGTTTTCATTGGGACCAAAAATACATGAAAGCTCAATGACAGCCTGCTAAAAATATGTTTTTCTATAACAAAAACAAGTATTTTGTAATAATATTGGGAATGCATTTTTTTTCTAATTCTTTATTAACATTTGGTTTTAAAATTATAATTTTAATGAACAATTTAAATAATGACGTTTTCATAGGCACATAAAAATATTATTGAATCGCATATTCAGTAGCATTCTTAAAATTTTTTTACGTTTGGCATATCTTTTTGGGGATATGATAGTTATATTCTATCTCACTTGGATGGTTATTTTCTCGACCGCAGGCAACTTGCCAAGTTCATTCTTGTCCTCATCCCGCTCTTTGGAGTCTTCTACATCGCTCTGACGGTGGTGTTTCCTCTGGGGTACGAAAACAGATTCGATATCACTCCGATGTATGTGGAGCAGACATACAACGCATTCCAGGTAAAGTGGAAAACTACCGCGGCCATTTTAGTTTGGTTGCTGGGAGATGACGGGTCATAGTTGTGACGTTGACGATTATTTAATAAGCAAGAACTGGACCAAGGTGTGGAAATGGTTGTGGAACTTAATAAAATGACTGTGACGGGGCATACAGGCATGTCCCCCAAGCCTCCCAAAGACTTAAAGACATTTCCCAGCATAAATACCCTCCATTTGTGTATGAAAGAAATAGTGGAACAAGGTATGCATAAGATGGAAATATAAAGACACTAAAAGAAGAATGTCTCGGCGGAAAGCCCTCTCCCGGCAGACAGGACGAATGAAGAAATTGAAAGTAGTTCCAAAACTGAAGATTTTATTTATTACTAGTTATAGCCCGCCAAACATTGGCGATGGCAACGCGTGAACTTCCCATCTACTTACGTTACTTGACAAAACATGAGCTCAAGTATCGCACATTTATAATTCCAATTTTTTCCTACCCCCCCCCCCCCCCCCCCCCCCCCCCCCATGATCCGTCACTGCTCAATTTTTTGTTCACGCCCATGAACTATATTAAATATTCTGATGTCCCGAACACTTTTAAACTGAATATATATATATTTTTTACACCATACTTAAATTGAGACGCCTTCATTTATAGAAAAATATTACGCACCAAACGAAGTTGCGTTATTAAAAAAATATAAATGATTTAGCGTAGTTATCGCGAAATTATATTTTGCGCGCTAGTGAAGTCATTATCTATACACAGCCTGCGTGGTGATGGTGTTTGATCTTTGCTGGCGAATTATATATATATAGAGATAGAGAGATTGTGTATGAAATAAGGGTGCCCAGTGGGCGTAATGGGTATTGAAGTAAAATACTGGAGTTCAAGGATGGCCAATGACTTAGTGGGTACCTTGTTTGGCAACTGCTAACCTGTCGTGGCATTTGTCTTTTTCAACCCGAAAAGGAGCATTTGTTAACCGTAAATATGGAAGTTAAAATTAGAATTCTGTGGGTCGATAAATAAATATTCACAAAACAAAACGCTGAAGATTTTGTCAAAGAGAAGAAAAAAAACAGAGTGTACAATTGTTAAATTTCAGTATTTACTTCTTTATATTTAGACATTGAACACGCTATAATTTACACAATTAAATATAATATGATTAATTTAATTATTTTTTTTACGTTTCTTCCCTTGGACAGGGTTTTCTGTTGGCTTTGTTATTTTGCTTTTTAAACGAAGAGGTAAGTCACTTGACATATTAGGAATCATTTGTTTTCACGTTTGAATGAACATAGAATACGATCAATTCTAAAAGACTTGGTTTTTATTTGTAATGGCTTTTCAGTTAAATTGCTGCTTTCTATGAAGTTGTTTGTGTAGAGTGTTTCATTTTCACAATTTTCTTAAACTATTGAATTATAAAAAAAGTAAACTTGTTATGTAAATATGCCTTCAAAGTATCTAAATTTTGAAATTTGAATTTCTACGTAACACATCTTTTTTTATTATACTGCAATTGTCTCTTGAACATAAAAAGGCATGCGTTGCGTATAGATTTGAAAGATCAATTTATTAAATATTGCATCGGCAGGTTCACAGTGAAATCAGAGGGATTTGGTATCGTCGCACAAGAAGGCGAGACAGCGTGGCCACTCGCTCGTTCGTGCTGTCTTCCTTCAAGAGGGGCTCGTACCACAACCGGGCCTCCCTGAGTGCTGGTCAGCCGCTGCGATCCGCCACGAGGCTATCTTGCTCGGAGAGCTTCGACACCAAGCAAGAGTCCTGGTCCACACGGCTGAAGAGGCGCGTCCTCCGCTTTCTGGGTCGCAGACATAAGGACCGGAACCTGGTCCGACCGCCGACACCACCGTTCATCGTAAGACACAACTGCAGCACGGAGTCCCAGCGGCTGGGCAACGACCACCTGGAGCTGAGTATGAAGCTTCGGGATAAGAATGACGACGAACATGATATGATTTCCTCAGGGTGACGCCCCCTGATTTATATCGCCTCATCGGATCATAAATGACTTCTTCTGAGACCATAGACATAGACTGATTTAACAGACTATTAAAAGTGTTCGCGTTTTAAAATAAATTTTACGGCTGTGGACGTGTGTGCTAACTGCCCTGGAAGATATCAGACAACAATTTCTTTAGGAACATAGATTTGACCTTCATCGGTTTCGTTGTTAGCATAATGTAGAGTTGTTTTTAAAAAAGTTTTCTTGTGACTATGTTTATGGATTTCAAAGACCAATTTCAGATTGAAAATGTTACATTTCATGTTTGGATAATGATCCTTTCCCAGCTAACATAAACGGTTTAACATAATCATCTAAAAGACTTGAAGGAAGCCTCCTGGTACTGTGCCGGACTTTTATTAAAGGAGACGAAAGAACTTGACCTCAACAGAGTTTCATAAGCCTAAGAGAGGACAATTCTGAAACTAAAGACGTCAATTTGTCACAAAGATTAGGGTAAATTAAAAATGCGCTAGACGTTAAGGTTGCTTGAGTTTTAGGATAAAAGTAGGTCAATTTCTGATGGGTAATTGTGTCATCCGGTTTATTGCTAGTTACAGCAGCTTGTATAATGTTTAAAAACAGATTGATTTTTTTATGTATATAAAAGTTGACTTTTCTGGGATTAAGAAGGATGTGAAGTCTAAGAATCCATTTAAAAAGAAAAATATTGATATCATTTTCGAATTATCTGTTTTTAAGCCAAAAGCCACACAGAACAAACCATAATGGCTGTGAACTCTTCTGCTTTGGACAACTGCAGTGGATTTTTGCTTCGCGCTGATGATTTCAATTTCACCCATCTGGGTGATTATTATTTCATTTCCGTAGATGCGCAATGACATGGATGTAATACTAATGGTATTATACTCACTTATGTAATTTGGTTGAGCAGAAACGGGATTGTATGTTATTTTTGTACAGCGCCTGTCGCCTTCGGTTTTATGTTGAGAAGTGGTTTGAGTTGGCATGGTTTCATACGCGTGAATACACATCCGTACATGTTCAAGTAAATATAACAGCTTCTAATGAAGTTTTAGTCAATAAGTCACGATATGGGACAGTTGATTTTGATAGAAAAGGATATTTCTAATCTCTAAAATTTTTTTTTTTTTTTTTTTTTTTTTTTTTTTTTTTTTTTTTTATTGTTTTTTTTTTTTTTTTTATTTTTTTTTTTTTTTTTTTTTTTTTTTTTTTGTTTTGTTTGATAAATATTTTCCACATGCCCTTAAACTGTTCAGCTGAATAGTCTTTAAGAGACTCCTCAGACAATAGTTAAACATGTTATAAACTTTTAAGGTGCAGAGACATACGTCCTCAATTAGGCTGGTGCGGTACCTTTGGGTAGAGACAATTTTTTTTTTTTAAACATCATTCTTTATTTTAAAATATGTTAAAAGTCTTGTTTTATTTTTTCATACGGGTCAGATATTCCTAGTCAATTTTTTTTTTGTTTGAAAAAGAAAAACAATTTTTACGTTAGTGTCATATCATTTTTTGATGTTCTCTAACGTCAGACGACCCTGATTAAAAAAGTTATCAACTAATTGCTCAGCTCACTAAATATTTTTAAAACCTAAATTGTAACATAAACTATTTTACAATGACTTAGGGTGTGTGTGTCTTGGTTTTTTGGGGGGGGGGGGGATTTCTGGAATCTTTTTTTTCTTCTCGCTACTGTTGATTACAAATTTTTTTTTCTTCTCGCTCCTGTTGATTACAAAATAAAGATATTTATATTTTTATTTCTATACAATTCATATATATATATATATATATATATATATATATATATATATATATATATATATTTAGTTGGGATTTCTGAGCATCGTACTCACAAAAAAGTTTGCAATGTTTCTTTAAGACTTGTCAGATGTACTTAAGAGTGATCTTTACTTTTTCTCTATTTCCTTTAACGTCGTGACGGGTTATAAATGAAATGAGACATGCTGCTTTGGACGGCGCTCGGGTCCCTACATTTTGTTATGGTGGCTTCACGTGAGAAGCCAAACGGATCACTTTTCCATTATCATTTTAAACTGCAGAGACTCCTCAAGTGATCCTCCTCCTCCTCCATGCACGTGTGGCACTGACACTTGAAAAACAGCGGTTGCCTTTTGGTTCCTTTTCATAAAGCCTGCTTGGAAGTTTTGCGCTCTTCAGAGTTAAACTTTTTTTTTAATCTTACTTTAAAATTTCAACGAATGTAACTTAACATTAATTTTTAATACACAAAAAAGGTCATCCTTAGAACCAATTGCGGCAGAGATGGCCGTCTATCGATGAAAGATAGTTTGATCAGTGATGTGTTTATTCTTAGAAACAAGACTGGTACAAGAATTTGGGTTTGGGGGGGGGGGGAACATTTGTCCAATAATAACACTGGGATCTTTTTTTTTTTTTTTAAATTTTTTTATAATAGAAAAAAGATTAATCATTAACAAAAGTTATGATAAAATAATGGAATTTTATATTCGGTCAAGAATTTGGGTTTGGGGGGGGGGGAACATTTGTCCAATAATAACACTGGGATCTTTTTTTTTTTTTTTTAAATTCTGTTATAATAGAAAAAAGATTAATCAGTAACAAAAGTTATGATAAAATAATGGAATTTTATATTCGGTAGTGTCACCCGTATGTAAAACTATAATACAAGACGCATTCAAATAATGACTTTCTTATGTAAATATGGAAATGCAAGATTTTTTTTCACATAACTGCAGTATTAAGGCGTGCAAGAACTATATATGTGAAGCAATTTTGAAATATAGTAGCATTTTTAGCTCGGTTGGAACACTTTCACTTTAGGAAGGATATAGATCAAAGTCTCATACAGCTACACTTGTTTTCAGAACATAAGTAAGTGCCTTACTTACAATAGTTTTCAAATTAATTCGGAAAATGTATACTTAAACCGATGACGTGATTTAAATAAAAAAATTCCTATTTGCTTCCGATACTCTCAAACACTATTGGCGAGACTACATTGCAGATACATATTTTTATGCAGCTCTGTTTCACCAATGTAATGTTATAATTTGTTATCAAAAACTAACAAAATGCCATGATTCTTTTTGTTTTTCATTGTAACATTAATATTACTTTGATATTGGATAAAAATGTTGGATATGAATGAAGTATATACATTCATATAAGCACCAAGCATATGTTGGACTGGCTGACAATTATGTGATATGTAGAATATTTATAGAATGTCTCCACACTGTTTTAGTTTAAATAAAGATGTGGAATAAAATAGGGAATTAAATGTTACATTTTGTATGGGAAAAACATCTTTGTCGACTAATATACTATATTTTGTTACATTACAAGTTTTTTTTTGTTACCACCAGAGCAGGGTGTCACAAGAGAAGGGTGTCACTAGAGCAAGGTGCCACCAGAGCAGGTTGTAAGCCAGAGCAGGGTGTAACAAAACAAGGTGTCAAAAGAGCAATGTCTCACCAGAGCAAGGTGCCACCAGAGCGGTTGTAAGCCAGAAAAGGGTGTCATCAGAGCAGGATACCACCATAGCAGGGTGTCACAAGAGCAAGATGCCACCAGAGAAAGTTGTCACCAGAGCTGGGTGTCACCAGAGCAAGGTTTTACCAGAGCAGGGTGTCACCAGAGCCCGGTGTCACCAGAGCAGGATACCCCCAAAGCAAGGTGTCACCAGAGCAAGGTGCCACCAGAGCAGGTTGTAAGCCAGAGCGGTATGTTATAAGAGCAGGGTGCCATCAGAGCAGGGTGCCACGAGAGCAGGGTGTCATCAGAGGACGGTGCCACCAGAGCAGGGTGCCACCAGAGCAGGGTGGCTACAGAGCAGGGTGCCACTAGAGCAAGGTGTAACTATAGCAGGGTTCAACCAGAGCAGGGGCCACCAGAGCAATATTTCACCTGAGCAGGGCTTCACCAAAGCCGTAAGGCTCAGAGGTGGACCATTGGATATTATTTCTGAAGGGAAGATGACACCACGAGTTTGCGAAATTACGTGACGCCAACCCTAGTGACGCCACTGCAAAACATAATTATTGAATGTGCACATCAATAGTTATACATTGGGATTAAGATTACAATCTGTTACATTTGGATTAAGATTACAATCTATTACATTTGGATTAAGATTACAATCTATTACATTTGGATTAAGATTACAATTTATTACATTTGGATTAAAATTACCATCTATTACATTTGGATTAAGATTACAATCTATTACATTTGTGGTACCCCAAAAAAATTGTTAAACAAAAACAACATTTTTTTTTCAAGCTAATGATACATTCCACAATCGTCCTTCTCATGCGACGAAGACCAAGGCCTTGACTTGAGCAGTAGCCGTGACATCGTCTGTATTTCGTTTAGAGTGAGCCAGGGTTGCTCAATTTGTCAGCCTCACTCTATAGTCCATTACAATCATGTAAAAGAGAAGAAAAAACACATAAAAAGAAGTTCGTCAGCATCACACAATGTACAAGGGGCTTGATATTATACTTATAGATCTGCCCCACTATCAGAAACAACCAGACACTGGAGTCCTTTAAAACCGATCTAAAGACACATCTATTTCGCAAATATCTTCTGGGATGAGTGTCTACCTTATTTTCCAGTTAATGCATAATGGCTGTGTTGCTCCGGGTTGAAATGGCTAGAAAGGCTTTGACATTGTATGCTTGTAGTTAGTTTTTGTAGTGTTGCGTTTGTTTTAAATGTGGTTCATTATAGATATGTTTTTTGTTGACTTTGTACCGCGCTTCGAGCCTTTGGGGATGAAGCGTGTTTTTGAAATGAACTTTATTATTATTATTATTATTATAAATAACAAGTAATTTTTTTAGTTAAATGTACATCAATAGGATTGATACGCAACTGAGTGAAATCTATTTAATATAAATATTTTATCCTCATAATAATATTTAATTCATAATGAATAT